CATTGCGGTAAAAATACATTTAATATAAAAACATCAAAATTCTTATGGTTTTCCAAACATCGTTATGTGAAAGACGCAAGTAAGCTTTAGTTTTTTCTCACCTTAACCAGTTTTCAAGTCTGTTTCATAGTCCTGATTTGTCCTAAAAGAATCCGGGAAATCTCCAAAATTTCGATTTCAATGAAAGACATCCAAGGTAAATTTCACTAAACCTGATATTTTGTTGGATTGTCTGTAGTTATCTTTCGTTTTTTTAAAATAAAATTAAACAGGAATTCAAAGCTTAATCGGCCATGGAAAACTTTGTCGAAGAATCTTCAAAGAACAAACATAGCCCGTGGGGTGGCTGGTGGTGAGTTGTGTTCAAAATTCCTAAGTGGGATGGTATAATCACGCATAAAAATTTCGATTTCAATGCATGGTTTTTATTATGGAATACTTTATCTTCATCTCGAATAAAAATAATTGAAGATTTTTTTCCCGATCTTGTTTTTACCTTTCAGATTCATTCAAATTGGGCTCCCTGGCTCCCTAATTTCGTATCGGGAGCTCCGCTTTTAGGCAGTGCCTAAATATATAAATTATAGTGGTGTAGGGAGAAAACAAACCAATAAGAAAATAGCAAGTCGTAAAACAAAAGAGAACAAAAGGATCGAAAATAATAATGGTAGGTGAGAAGTGTCTAATTAAAGGTGAAGCGTTCATTCCGCCGGTGCGGATTAACTGTGCCAAGCGAAAGAATCAAGTGCATTTCTTTTGTCTTGCGTGAATTATTGCTACGGTGTGTTAAGCAAAGACCAAGTTTAAGGACTAACGTCCAAAACGTCAGTCTATTATCTTTCGTATTTACGGTGATAAAATTATCCTCTACGACACTTTTGTTTTAACTAAAAAACACCGACGCAGTCCAAACTAGTTCTAAAACTAGTCGTTATTACCATTTTCAGAAAACGATCCTAGCTCCAAACACATATTAAACAGCCGACACAATGATGGTGCAATTTCCTCGACACATGATTGTATGAGCTTAGGAGAAAAACCAAGCGACGCCTTATTGACATCAAGCGCTTTAAGATGCTTAAGGAAATTTTCAGTGTTTAAGTTCAACGCTTAAATTTCATGATCAATCTTGTAATCAAGCCTGGGTAAGCTATCAATCAAATACCTTGGTCAGGCGGCCCAAAAACGGAATGAAAAAAGATGTTAAATACATTTGCCCTGATCCAAGGGTTTACAAGCTTGCACTGACCCGTGCTTAACCACACTTGGAATTCTACTAGTCTTGGTAATTGCTTTATAAAACGACCAAAATTTACGGGGATTATCCTTGAGAGAATCACTATGTATGTTTTGTATGTTTTGCTGTTGATGTACAACTCTGTTTTTATGCCAACCAATTTTATGCCTCCCATCGCCCCCAAAATGAAGCCTACGTACTCTTCGTATTGAAGCTATATCCTCCTGAGGAGTGGAGGAGGTATTAAGCCACAAATTATTTTTGCAACGTTCAAGGTATCCACCGACCATCAAGCTGTAAGTTTAAAAACTCTGAAGCAAACTATGGGCTGAATAAACTCATTTCAATGATTAAAGTTTGTAGCCGCGGAGGAATACCGGAGAACCCGGAGATCAACCCAACAATCGGTTCGTTGGGTTGATCTCCGGGTTCTCCGCTATTTCTCCAGTATTTCTCCACGGCTGCAAACTTTAACTATTGAAATGAGTTTACTCCCTTGGTGGTCATAGCAGGCACTTGGGATGAATTTTACAACACCTTAAGATTTTTATATATCTTTTCGTACTTACCATATCCACTACAAACGCCAAACATTTCGTTTCGATCGTAGTTTTCGGTTAAAGAGCACCAGTAACGGTCAAAATTAGTTACTGTACAACTGTAATATTTTCGTGCTTCATATATAAAAGGGAAAACACAGCATTGATTGTTCGTAGTTTTTTGCTTGCATAAGCCGCATTGGTCTATAAACACAAGCAAATTCAAATGTGTTAACCTATAGTAGTCGTAGAAGTATACAAATAGAATGAGGAGCAGGGGCAGGACCTTAAAATGTCTGAAGGTGCTCTAAAAAAATAGTTGCAAATGGTAAGATGATTATTTCTCATACGGAGGCATTTTAAAACATAGAGGCTCACAAGTTTATCTGGGTTAAGCTGCGACTGTCACGAGTCAACCTCTCGAAAAAATAAGACTTTCCTTGCTTGTTTGCTTTAAACAAAAATAAATAAATAAAGAGAAAAGTCGACTGAACGTACGTGAATCCCGCTGAAATTACGTACTGCATGTTCCGGAAATTGCAAGGGAAAGAAACAAATCGAGTTTTTGTTTGTTAATCATCTAGAACAAAGGAATCCCGCACCGAGAAACTGCCAAGATTAGTGAATTTTGTAACTATAAATTTAACCACTTACCAAGGCTTGTATAATTACAAAATCCCCATTCATTTATAGCAACATCTAGGTCCAGCGTTGTTGCACACCATGGTTTTCTTGTCGTCGTTAAGCATTGACTGTGGAACCGGTTGTTATACTTAAAGGGAAAGACGCACATTTTTCCACTGTCTGTCATAATCCTACATGTCCTCTGGGTAGGGGCTAATGGAGCTAAAAATGATAAGCAAAAGCATTGAAAGCATGTCAAATAAAATTCTTCGGTTTTTATAGACCCTTTGTCTGTGATCTCAAAGCAGCCTAATTTTGAGGACAAAACAAAATAATTTCAATGTCATGAGAATTGGAAACATATTGTTTTGCCCCGCAAATTGAGCTGCATTCCGAAGTGTTGTAAGGGGTCTATTACATTAATTTTTACTGAGTCCTCAATCGTGTCCTCTACACGAAGTTCATACCCAAGATAAGATGGACTATACATGCCACCATATGCCAGATAGTATTTCATATTTAACTTTAGCATGTTGAATGTATAGAGCTACTCTCCATGAAACCGTTATTATTAATATTATTATTAGTATTGTTACGCGGTTAAGCATGAAGTATAAGGGAATAAAGAATAAGGGATTAAATAGATATGCACGTGAAAATTGGGAATTACATCACCAGCTCTATGTAAGAAATGTTAATGTAAAAATAAAGGGAGCAGCAGTTAATACTTGAGGACTTCGTTGATGGTTTTGGGACCGACGCTAGATTTTTATAGGCAGAGTGACGGACGGTACAGTATTATCATCATCATCATCAGCACAATCATCATCATCATATCATCATCATCATCATCATCCGCTGGCCATAAAAAAATTTGAAAAAACGAGGATCCATAACTTACGGTACGGAACGAGCAAACGATTTTAATAAGATATTTATTATATTATAGACCCTGTCAATTCGCTTTATTGGCGGTAGTTTATGTGATGATCTTTTAAGACTAATGTAATGTGTTTTCTAATGTTTACTTACCTTTAAGAGCGGTGTTACCTATTGAATAATAACAACAAAAATGTTAGTAGAATAACTCAGTGTTAACAAAAACAAAAAACAAAAACACTTGTCATCGCTAATCACCACCGCAAGTACAGCAGTAGCGCCGCTCAACGGGGTCGGACTGAAAGCATGTGAAGGCGCCAACTGGCAGCCGCTAGACAGTCCATGATTGAACTCGGAGCACAGCTCTAACCAGTTTGAATTAGTTAGGATTGATTTGAAAGGAGGGAGGAAAAACACTCGGAGTCAGGAAAAGAACCAACCACCCAGCTCACACGGGATAGCTGGGATAAGAACCCCGGACCTCAGAGGTGAGAGACGACCGTCTTACGACCACGCCATCCTGACTCCCCTGTCATCCTGACTCCTCTACATCTAACGTAAACATCTAACATCTAATGTAAAACAACAATGCGATGGAATATTAAATACTCGTGTTTTACGTTATAAAATTCACCTTTTGAGCGTTTTGTATTGTGTTACTGTCACAAACTAGTTCGGACATTGTTCTACATTTACGAATGTACTGACTTTTAAACAAATTATTTAGTTGATTTTTTTTAGTTAGCTCTCCAAATACAAGCAACATATCATTTGTCTAACTTGATTGAAGCTTCTCTTACTGCTGTTTACAAAAGTAACTACAGAAATCTATCTGAATTATTTTATTTTTAAATTCAGGGAATTTGTATGGGAATCCGAGAACGATGTCCGATTTTTTTGGTGACTGCAACACAATCCAACTCGGTTTTGGCTAGCTCTGAAAAGGTGAATTAATTAAGGAAAATGTTAAAATTAAAGAAAACACTTGGAAAGGAGGAAGAGGAATTTCTACATAAATAAATGGATGGATGCAAGGATGAATAGACATTAAGAATTACATCGCTAGAGGTAAAAGAGTAAATTTAAGTTTTAAACAATCTAAGTGATTGTATTCCAGCACAAATAAAAACTAATCTCTTATATTCCTCGTTGGAGTGTACCCCTCATCAATATTCTATATATATATTGAATTCCTAAATGTTGAATTCATTGRAATCCTTCTTCTACTGGAATTCATCTTTGGTCTACCGTCCAGATATTCAAGTATATTTACATATCTATATACCAGCCCTTACCACCGACACAGAACCCTTTCTGTCCATCGCGATCGTAGTTATCAGTTAAACTGCACCATGGTTTCACTCCGTCGACCCCGATACAATACGAGTAACACTTGTCTTTATAAATGAACGGAAATGAACAGCAATCGCCTTGTGTTGTACGCATCTTACAGTTTACTGTACAAATAAGACACGGTCAGGTACATTAAAAGACTTTCTTCTTAGAGAATGCATATAAGGGGAAAAAATGAAATATTAGAAGAAAAATTCTAAAAATAATAACGGTCGCGGCAAGGCAAGCGTATGGCACTGGTATAAGAAATGATTTTAAAGGGTCAATAACAAACAGTATTATTTTATATTTACTATTCATTGAAGTTGCATTCTGGCAGCTGTCTCTTGAAAGTACGATGTCATCAACAGCTACCACAAGCTTGATTTCCTTGACTTGTCTATTGGTCTTAAACAATAGCTAAGAAGAATTTAACAAAGGCATCAAACAATAGCCAAGAAGAATTTATAAAAAAGGTATTATAATTTAATTCCTAATAATCCTGGTCTCGAAAAATGGTTTATGCCAGAACCCTCGTTCTTGGTCGCAGGTCAGAAGAAACGCAGGCTCTCGGTACGATACAGTATCTCGAGATGGAATTTGCAGTCGCAATTACTGTCGGAATCAGAAACAAAGAGTAAGCCAGAAAACGTAGGTGACGGAACCGGGCTCCAAAATAGAAGTCGGAAGGATATCGAAAGATTTTTCCTTTGCTTATGCTTATGCTTAGCGGTTCTCTCTTGCGATTTTTGCATCAACTGCTTCCTTTTTTCTTAATTTATTATACCTGGTTTAGACTAAAGTCAAACTTTGAACTTTACATGAGCCGAACCTTATACCATAAAATAAGACTGAGAATAAGACTTAACTGAATAAATGAAACGTTATCGTGTGTTTTTAATGCATACGACTCATGTGAAGTTTTACGTTTTATTTTATAGTCTCACCCATTAAAGTTAGCACACCTTATATTCGTGCTGTGTCTGGAGAGGTATTTGCATGAAACTCCAAGATTTTGTGAGTTTATTATGGAACCACAATTTTTTGCGGCTAAGGTCCGAGATTTTGATAGAGTACAGCTGTATGATGGTAGATGTACTAAAAAACCAGAATCGCAGACATTTGAAGCCTTCTTGGGGATCTATTACTGGACTCTCCATCTTCGGCGTAACTTCAACGTATTTTGGATTCGTGCGAGCAATTCCGACACCTTAGAGTATTCAATAAAGAGAGAAAAGTTCAATATAAGAAGGCATACAAGTTTATATAATTGTATTTTTTAAGGCCAGGTTTTTAACTTTAACATTAACCACCATAAATAGCTATAAATATAAACAAAAACATGAATTAAATGCAGCACTTTGTGATAAGGTGCAAATAAAACAATTGCAGTCAAAAAGAAAAAAAGCATCCGATTTTATCGATAACCTGAAAAAGCCTCTGACCTGATTAAAGTCAGGGCACGGCTAGTTCAAAGATCCAACGCGCTAGGTACTGTGGGGTTTCGTGGAGGACGAAAAACGAGAGAAACCGAAGAAAAAACTCGCGAAACTTGGCAGAGAGACAAAACAAATTATACTTATATGTGATGTCCCAGAGGTGAGACCATCTACAATGTCTTTGAATTCGATTTATTGTTTAATGTTACGACACTGATCCGAAATACCATTTCCTTACTTTGCTTGTCTCTAGCAGGGACATCAGTACTTTGTGAATCTGCACTTTGCAAAACCCATCCAGCGTTGCTTTTCCAGTTACAAAAGTCACGATCAAAGTTACAGCTACCTATAGGAAATAATGAGATAGTGAGCATGAAAAATGAGTAATTAACATCCATAGATAGCATATAGCGAGAAAACAGACAAGTATCATAGCCAACAAAATTATCAGTATCACCAACAACAGTACGCAGTGTCAAATCTTCAATTCTATTTTACTTACTCGAACCAAAATGAGATAAATCGCATTTTCCTGTGATGAGATCCACATCATCAATAGCAATATCACCCTCGTTACCATTACCAGCGGTTGCTTCATATATAAACTAAAAATTAAATCACAAAAACAAAAATGGTAAATTAATATATGGTGAGAGTTTGTTGGGCCTCTCACGCTTGATTCTTGGTTTAAATTTTTTATACTGATTTTTTAATTGGCCTACCAAATCTAATAGTTTAGACTATAGACTCATATCGTGATATCGATACAGTAGGCTTGAAATAAGTACAACGTGAATAACCAGAGAGGACAATGCTTACATTTGTACGCCTAGTGAGGTTAGTCGCATTAATGCCCAGTTGAAACAGTAAGTGGCCTACGCACGAGCGATGACCACAAAACAGGGTTGATTGAACAAGAACGCAATTTACGTGCAAATGTGTGTTTAGACCCATTATGTGATGCTTATGACTGAAACTCTCTGAATTAAGAATAGTAACCGTTTCAGAGAAAAAAATAAACTCCATTAGTCGGGTAATGCAAACATGTAAGGACTCCGAAGCACCCTAGAATGAGTGTGCTTATAAGAGATGATAATTTTAGCACTTAACAATGCAAACAAACGTATTGTTTTTACCTTAAAACTGCTTCCATTGTTGTATATGGTTGTCTGTCCGAACCTCCATTTTGGACCAGCGTCTCCTGACCTACTCCACATCTTAATTCTCGTCTGGTTGGTCATGATGTATACATTTAGGTCACCTACGTGACGTCCCCACATGTGGTACCAGAATTGTAGGCACGTGACATTAGTGTACTCGATCCAATCACTGTAAAGTTGTGCTGCATCATCACGAACTAGTCCTGAGACTTCGAGGTAAAGGTAACTGCCTGAAATAGAAATTAGAACGGATGTTTATCTGATTATAATAAATGTAGCTCATTTGTGATACTTGATGGGAATGGATGAAAGGGTGGTGTAACGGTAGTACATGTCTAATGCCTGGGGTCGGCGCATGGAATTCATTTCCTGGACTGCCATTACATATATTTTGAAAAATAGAGTTTGTCATTAGGTCTCTCCTTTGATGTTTCCTCCATCCACTGCAGGGAAACCCATCAGGTAGATTGAAATTCAATCTGTGAGTTATCACTTCCTTGACTTCCATCTGCTCAGAGGTTATTCCAGGGTTTGGTAATACTGAATTGAAGGTTTTTGATGCGGTATGCAATCTTTGTAGCCACTGATGTTGAGAGAAAAAATCAGTGCAAAGGAAAAACACAATCGGCCTACCATTTGCAGCTAGTCTTGTATGATCAATTAAAGGGCCAGTTTCTGAAGTTGGGGTTTGGCCTTTCATTATTTGCCATTTTGCTTTGCTCGATCGATTTGTGGCGTTTGTTGTAAGTCCACAGAATCCATACTCAAAATTACAGGGTCCTATAAAAAACATCCAGCAATAGATAAGGAAATCTTACAATGTTAGGATTACTAATTCAATTGCCCTATTTCCTAAATACGTCACCGTTTGTATACATCGTCTAAAATGATAGAAATTTCGGCTAAATTTAAGATCGATTCTCTTCTTTCGAGATATTTAGCGTAACATTTAGTTGTTCTTGCCTTCACTAGCTCATAAACCAAATTTTATTGTGTTTTAAGATGTGTCGTTGTCATTCCATCCCTCTCAAGCGACCATGATCTCTAGCGTTTAAAAATAGTTTGTTTTGATGTGACGTCATTATGAAATAGGGCAACTGACAGTAGCAGCGAGAGTCCAGGAAGTGGAGAGATGAGAGAGCACGCGCATCGTTCGTTTGCAAGATGGACATGTAGTGGGCTTTCATCTCAGTTACATTTGTTTTACCTCTAAAGGTTCGGCACTGCTTTCGTGGAATAGAGTTATCTGTTATGCTTGCACAATTAACGTTGTTTAACGGACATCTAAGCGAGGCTTAAAAAACAAGTAATGTTTTCAGAATAGTAAAATAATACGCCTTTCCATGGTTACGATTCTTTGTTTCGTACAACTATAATCATCTGATAGGACAAACCAGTCACGTCAAGCAATATCCATCCCAACAAGACAACAAAAAGCCACTCATCTTAACCATCCTCACAGTCACACACTCCATCACACGTGATAGACCATGTTACACAAGATCCATCCAAGCAAGACAGCACAAAGCTATACGATACTTACAGCAGATGTCCGGCTCGTCTGATCCATCCTTGCAGTCCCACACCCCATCACACGTGACAGACCATGGTAAACAAGATCCATCCAGACAGGAAAACTGGTTTTCATTGCACACGTTACCTGTATCAAAGGTAAATAATTTACTAAGTTTTAATTTATATAAATGATCTGCGTTCGGTGTGATGAATGAGATAAAATTCGATGGAAAATATTAAATGCCCTTGGGGGGACTCGACCCTGCTTCTTTAGCCGCAATCTAGTCTGATCCACGCAATACAAGGACTAACGAGTTAGGAACCCATCCGGGAATGAACTATATGGCAACTGTAAGGGAACAACAACAATATTTTGTTTCAGATGTTGAAAACTTTTAGGTTATATCCAATATTCATATATCAATTTTTTATCGCTATATATGTTTTGACAAAAAATGCAAATATTAGCGGAGCTCCCGAGCGGGCCGAAAGCCATTAATTGCAGAACCAGTATTTTTACATGATTACATAGTAATTTCATAGTAATCATAAAATGCATGCGTCTGTTTTTATTTTTCTTTCCTTTTTTGCCTTCTCCGTCTTGCAAAAAATGCAAAGTTGGGCAAGTTTACCCATATATGGATTTGAATGATTTGTTCATAGATTAATGGCTCATACGCTGGTTTGCCAGCTTAGGCTTTAACTTCAGGCGGCTTTAGAAATAATAGCGGAACTCCCGCGCAAGCGGAGCACCATACTTAAAAAAACATGGTAAACCATAGAGTTCATTTTGATGGCTTGACAACTACGTCACTTCCGTCCGCACGTGTGTACGTCCGTTTACACAACATAGGAATCCCGCTTGATTTCAAAGCAAAACTACTCGGAAATGCACAGAAAACATTGCTTTGGGACAAATTATAGACCAACAACAGATTTGAAAAAACTTCCACGTAGTCAAAGATGGACAAAGAAATATTCTTAAAGAATCCAGGTGTGTGTTTTTTAGCAAACAATCGCATATTTTTACTTTCAACAGAAAAAATCTGTTTACATTTGGTCAGCTACGATTTCAAGCTCACGCTCCCTCATGTTAGCCCATACAAATTATGTCTCAAAAACACGGTTTTTTGATCTTTTCTCAAAATAATGACTATCTAGGCAAAAAATCAAAGTGGATTCAGTTAATTTAACTATTCACGGACTGTATCATATGGTTTAGATTGAATTCTATTGAAAAAAACCACCGTACTTTTGGGGTTGAATGTACGCTATTTGATGCATTTTACAAGAGAAAATGCATGACATAACCGGGGTCAAGCTAGAAAATCGTCTCTCCTTGAAATAAAACAGCACCTGTCAGAAAAAAACAGAAGTGGATTTGAAAACCCCGGGCTTTCCTGAACATTTTTGCTGATTTTATAAGCTCATACTATCTGTTGGCCTATACATTCGGCTGTTATGGTTTCTTAGATTTCGTAGCCTCGAAAACACGCCAACTACGCGGGTAGTTCGCGAAGAACAGAAAATTTACAGGGTCATTTAGGATGTTGTGTCACGCAGTTTACTTGTGCTAAATAACTTTACTTTTAAGAACAACCTTTTGCTTTGGAAAGAGAGGAAAAAGACCGAAAAGAGCAAATATTCCAAATGTATGGGCAATTTTTTCCAATGGACAAGCATTTTCTTTTGACGAATGGACAAATTGAATTATCAAACCTTATTATATCTCTATAAATAAGCTTAAATTCTTTTAATGCTGAATGAAATATAAAGAGAGCATATTACAACGAATATTCGCCATTTATTTTGCTTTTTTTTTCCATTTTTTATTTTGTCTCAGTTGTTCCTGTCAAGTTTAACTAGATATATAAGCTTAGCTTTTTTGTCTTGAAAATGTTTGTCGTTCGTGATTTCCGTATCTTTCTCAAACACTATGAAAACAAATGAAAACTAGTAAAATTGAATCTCAAAATCTAGTAAGCTTAAGATTTTCAATCTTCTCGAAAAATGTTTAAGACTTTTATAAAAGGAATAATGATAATTTTGATTTTCTGTGTGTTTGATCGACTAAATATTCTCGGAGATATAACGCCCTAAAGTGCGCAGTTTTGCCACGCCCCATCGATTTGGACGAGATAAAGGGAAACTGGGACCGAGCAGATTCTCGCTGAGTAGTGACATCGCAACAAGAACGAATGTTTTGATAAGCAAAGATTCTTACTAGTTCTTCGGTCAGAATGTGAGAAAATGCCGACTAGATGTGTTGTTGCTGGGTGCTCAAACACCCCAGCCAAGCTCTACTTTGTTTTACTTAATGCAAGCCGAGTCGTTCTTGTTGTGACGTCATTCGACACCAACTAGGTACCAGACCTTGCGATCCCGTCAAAATCGATGGGGCGTGGCAAAACTGCGTACTTTAGGGCGTTATATCTCCGAGAATATTGAGTCAATCGGTAAACTTTTTTTTGTTTATTCATCTCCAACACACAGAAAATCAAAATTGATCATAATCCTATAAAAGTTATAGGCACTTTTACTGACACATTAGGTTCTGACGTTCAGGGCCTTCATTTGACTAGTTTATTCAGTTAATGATCTCCAGCTAGTTTTCTCTCTGATGCTACCAAAGCATTTATTTTCTTAATTTCATTGCGGTAAAAATACGGTTCTTTTGAAAACACGAAACTCTTCATATCGATAACCAAACATCATTGTGTGAACGAAGTAAAACGAGTAAGCATATATTTTGCTCACCTTTTTTAACCAGTTTTCAAGGCTGTTTCATAGTGTTGATTTGTCAATTAAAAGTTCGGAATTCCCCGAAATTTGAATTTGAATTTAAGCCATCCAAGGTGTATTTCCCAAAACTTGATATTGTAATGGATAATCTGTAGTTATCTTTCGTTTATCAAATAAAATAAACCAGGAATTCAAAGCGTAAAAATGTCGGACATGGAAAGTCTTTGTCGAAGAATTTTTCAAGAACAATTTTAATTTACTTTATGTTATTATTATTATTATTATTATTATTATTATTATTATTATTATTATTATTATTATTATTATTATTATTATTATTATTATTATTATTATGGGGGACTTAATCTTCATCTCGAATAAGAAAAACAATTGAAGATTTTCCCCCCGAATTTATTTTCATATTTCAGTTTTATCTAAATTGCCTCCCATTGTCTATTGGAAGCTCCGCATTTTGGCAGTGCCTAAATTCATATATTATTTATACTAACCACAGCCTGCTTCATCTGAACCATCTGCACATTCCTTTATTCCATTACATAACTTTGTAATTGCTAAACACTTTCCATCCGGACATTCGTATTCCGATGATCGACATGCGCAATTCCTTTCATCTGACTGATCTACACATGCGTAGTCCCCATCGCATCGTAACTTGGATTTGACGCATTCACCGTTGTGGCATTGGAATTCATCAGCCTCGCAGACGTGTCCTGGGATAATAAAAACGCATTGGTTCGAGATGTCAGTATGCAGTGGAGGGAGCTTTTGAAAAAAGCTCCATATCTATATTTTTCTAACAAAATTAAAAAGAAAGATAGTGGCAAATACTTAAAGTAAAATAGTGGGATCAAGCATGGCTTACATTCTTGTTATAGAGATTATTGCGGGCGTTAACGTTGCTTGTTTTCTTTATGAATGATGTTTTTTTTCTTTCTTCTAAATCTAAAGAAATGAGATCTGGACGGCGGAGAGGCTACAGGGTTTATAATCCACTTGATTGAAGGCAGCCGGATATATTGTAATAGGCTATTTTTATCAAACAGTCGCTTGCTAATGTACCACAATGGAAAAAAATCTGAATCATTCCAGCCACTCATTTCTGCTGGGTGGCAAAAATACTAAATTCGAAGGTATCTCATAAGAGAGAAGAAAGTATTTTGAAAAACGTTTTGGATATTACATAAGTGATCCATCCATCAAATGTTCTTCTTTTAATGAAGAAAGTCCATTTTTGTCATCCATTGGCAGTCACGTCATGTTGTCCTGCAAATGGCCTGTTAGCATTTAGATGTTGGTTTTTGAGGAGAAAGGAAAAACAAGCTCGATTACGTCTGAGAAAAAGGATCAAGTACCAGGAAGAACTACTACGCCCTCACCTGATGTAGCATGCTTCGGTGTTAAAGAACATTTTATTGTCGAGAGACGAATGTCAGACACGGCAACACTGCTTTTGGTGTCTGTGTTTCCTCGAATCTGAATCTGATGAACAAAATCAAATCATTAGAGCAGCCTATCATACACTCTTACCATACTAGCGTCCGAAACGTCTGTAAGTTTTTTCATCTTTTCACGGTGTACAATTTACCCTTTTATCATTACTGTTTCATTAAAAACACCGACGCAGCTCACACTAGTTTTTAGCTAGTTATTTCTTCATACTAAATGCATAGGAACTTATTTACTTCTATATTTATTAGTATTTGTAACTTAGATGCTTCACCCTTGTAGAACCGTTTCATCCCTTGAGATCGTCCCAAAGTTAGGTCGACATTTCAACATTGTGGAAAAGATAACGTTACAATGACTTCACCGCAGAGGCTCAGATGTTCAGACTTACAGAATCTTTTAATAAATGGAGGATATTACATAAGCGCGATTTTCAACACGAGAAGATAAATTTCGTATCTCCAAGCGCCCATGTAATATTCTGTTTATTATATGATTATATCTATAAAATCAACTTAATAAACTTTTTATCATTATAAAGAGTTTTTATTTATAAACCAATAGAATGGTAACGATATTTTCACATGTGAAAATAACATGTTATACATGTGAAAATATCAGTTTTTCGAAAAGGAGAAATATAGATATTTTATGGATAATTATATGATAACGTAGTATTATTTACCTGGCTGATTAAGTAGGCAGGCCACGGAATAGCTGCTTCATTCCACTGGGAGCCCTGCATTCCTTTTAAATGCCACAGAACTGTCTGATTATAAAGTGTATAAACGATGACCTCCAACTGGGAAGATTCATGGTTATTTCGATAGCTGAACTCTAGACAAAGTCCTATAGACCGATAAATTAGCTGGGGCTGAACAATGGGGCTTTGTAACAACGCGGTAGTGTTGGCTTCAGCTTGCATGTACAGTCCTATACGACGAATGAAAAAAGAAGCCAATTATACAGATATTTTATTACATAGATGTTATTACTCTGCTAGCTGTGTATTACAGCCGGTTAGAAAACTCATTAATAATTCATGAAGAAAACACAATAGAAATCATGACCATGAAGGTGATTTTAAATCGGATAAAGATTCGTCTTCATTTGCATAAACTTTAACTTGGATTTTCTCTATCCAACTTGGTTCATTTCGTAAAAAAATCGGTACACAATGAGAACAAACATCATAAGTTTTCTAAGCCGTTCAATAATCTCGCAGATCGTGTTTTATCGGGTCTAAAACCACTCGGCTGCGCCTCGTGTTTTATACCCGATAAAACACTCCTGCTCGTTTATTAAACATTACATAATTTTAAGAGTGAAAGCGGTCGTAATACACCACTAGCCTGCGTAATAAATTGCTTATTGTATGATATGAAAAAAAAAAGAAAGAAAGAAAAAGAAAAGAAAAGAAAAGAAAAGAAAGAAAGGGTGTCAAAAAACAAAAAATATTATTGTAAATAAGCAAACTCAAAAGTCGATCACTGGCTCAAACCACTGATGTCAGCCGCACAAAGGAATAGGAGAAAATTTCATCGCGCTGACATTAGCCAAAAAAAAAACGTTCGAAACCTGTTCACAGAACGTGTATTATCGCTCTGTAATTGCACTCGAAAAATGGTCGTAATAGACGGGAAATTGAGTATGTCGTATCATAAATAGTAACAATGCTGGGTGGTTAAGACAAAGGACAAACAGACGCATATGCTAAGCGATAAAACTTGCTATCGCAGACCGATGAGATCTTTTCATAAAATTACTAGCCACTAGTTTTACCTTTGTTATTTGCAGTTTTTTCGACAACCCATCCCATGTATCCACCATCGCCTTTAATTGTCCACGAACATGAATCATCCTGGTAGAAACAGCTTTGGAGAACACGAGCTTTGGGGCAAAAAAATTTAACTATATTTATATATCATGTGTTTGGTTTAATTATCATAATCATCCAGATCATGAATTTCGTTCAGTACGAGTTATGTGGCAAACAGGAAACGCCTTGTCTCTTTGCCACATGACTGTACGGGTCTGTGTCACCTCACTAAGTGCGTATCTTCGACTTACACCTTATATGTGTCACGCGACACATATCTTGGTGCACCTCATATATCTCATCGTCACGTTGGGTCCGTGAGGTTTGACTCAAAATATGGTTTTACTTAATGATGTGTTCCTACCTTTGATTTCAAGATCTCTAATAGTGCGACTGTTGATGCTGGTGTTGGATGTAGACTCTAAAACCTAGACAAGGATCAAATACGTAATATTTGATTTGATCTTTAGTGATATTGTGTGGAATCGTTTGCAAACGTATGGACGTTTAAATCAATAAGCACCCATTGGGCCGTGCTAAAGGACTACGTACAAGAAGATGTTGCACAAACAACAAGAAAACCAGCCTGAACAAGATGGCTTAAGGACCCCCGAAATGTCTAAAATCTTAATACGAAAAAACCGCTGTAGAATCCCTAGTAACCAGTGTGGCATGTGTAATTTATGGCACAATATGATCAAATACAAGCAAAATCATGGCTTAACCAAACCAAATACTGCCAAAGCAGGCACCATCTTGGCACTGCGCATGCGTTACTTGATTTTTTTGAGTCATAATGAGTGCATAATCGTCAAGTACCTTAATGTCATATTTCCCGGGATGATTTTCAATGACAAAGCTTGTTGTATAGTTGTACCACTGGCATGTGGTTGACAGGGAAGAGTTAACCACGAAGGTATACCCCAGTAATTGAAGTCTGACTGATTTTGAACATGATGCGGGGCAGTAGATACCATGGCAACAGAGGCGATATGACACTGAAATGAAGAAAAGACGAGTTTACAAAAAAGGCCCGCAAAACTTTGCCAGGCTATCAAGTATAAACTTAACTACTAGAGTGATTTTCCTTCACCCGTGAAAGAGTGGTCAATGTAATACAAAGTAGTGGACAATATTCCATTATTTCCGGTTGGCTGTTAGTCACAAATAGCATTTTTTACTGTTAATAAAAATAGATATCGCAAAGCTTTGTATGTGATCGGAATGCGAACCTTGCAAATAAAGGCTTCGATACATGGAAAAGAAGAAGAATATCAGTTGGAAAACCATAGTTCTCCCTTTTTTTTTTTTTGGAATCAACAAGATAACAAAACATTGTTGCAACTAGTTAGCATGTGAGCTGGGCATTGCTTGCTCACATTTCTATTCCATGATGCAAAATTTTGACGTTATCCGTATAAAAAGCTTTTAAAGGAAACTTTTTCAGTAGCCAAGTAAAATTATTCTGCTTGTACGTGTGAACTGTGTTTGTTTCTTTGTACGTGTGGACTGTGTTTGTTTCTATTTAATCTTCCTGTCTAATATTGTGTTGATACTTTTTTTAGTTGTATACTTAGGATTTTCATTGTCTGTCCAACGACTACTGAACGTTGTTTCATGGGTGGTTCAAGAAGTGTAGTATTTAGCATCTGGAGACCTGAATAAAATAAAACGAGAAACATTAGGAACTCCACTCCACTCCACTCCACTCCACTCCACTCCACTCTTCAATTGCACGCACCCGCGTTTTGTATTTCTTCACCAAACAGATATCTCAGATAATGAAATAAATACCTGGAAGAATCCAAAACATACTGGGAAGACTCAAGGGTCTGTTGTTTACTCCATTGGGCGTTTTCCAGCCAACACCAATATAACCTCGTCCTTGACTATCTTTAACGGACGTTTCTAACATGTACATGTGGCATGAGTCGAGGTCCTTGCTATGCGTTTGAAAAGAGTATCTTGGAGAGAATAAACATGAAATGCGTACTATGGACTTACTAGGTTTTTAAAAAAATATTAAACTGAATGTGATATAAAGTGAAGCGGAAAAGGGAAAGCGACGCGGTACGTCCCTTAATCTCAGCCGGCAACTTGAGATGGATTTGTTTTTAGAATGAGAAAAAATGCGCTCAAACGTATAATTTACTAACGTCAATTAGGGTGCTTTTTTATCAAACGTTGTTCAAGGTACTTATAACACTCTTTTTGTCTCATACAGCTCAACTATAGCTCACTCGGTTTATTTTGCCGAATAAAATTTGATAAACATGACAACTTAGTTCAATGTTTTTCCACTTGGTACCACTACTTTAAACAATGGAATGATACTCTAGAGAATGAACATGGTCTGAACTGGGAAAATATTTTACTCACGGTAAAGAGGTTTACTGAATTTTTTGTGTATGAAGTTGTGTGTTTCAAACAAATCTTACTTGGACCACCGTCCATAGCCAGTATACCGAGTCACAAATATAAGTTGTAGAAGTTCTTGCTCCTTGTATTCCAAATCTTCGACAACAAAAACGTCAGAGAAGCTCTTTAGGTATTTCATCCACACCTTACACTGATCGTCACACATGGCAAAAAATTTGTATCTTCCGTCATCTGGGGCCTGTTCCAAAGTAATTCGGAGCAAAATATCATCACACTGTTATTGATTCGATCCATTTGAGCTCTTACTCAAAGGCAGCAATAATAAATCTAAAGTTATTACTAAAAAACCATTAAAAACCATTAAGCTATTTTTTTCAAATATACAAACAAGTATACTCTTGCGAGACAAGATGTACTATATAGTAATAAAAACAATATGAAAGAAGTAGCGCTGATTTGCAATAACTGACTTTGCGTTTTGGCATTCTGTAAATATTAATTTCATTTGTCAGGCAAGTTGAAACAGAAATAAATCTTCAGTTTGCATTCGTACAAGGAGATTTTGTTTTAGATTAATTTGCAGACGTTTTCACTCACAAGCTGAATCGATCCTAAATATTTTATTACTTGAGCATCTGACCTGTATAAAAGAAGTAAGCCGCTGACCATAATTATTTAGACCAAAATCTTCGTCGAAGAATTCATAGTGAGTTTCGCTGATATCTGGAGAGTCGTATCTTTTGGGGCTTTTAATGAAGGTCAACAACTGGTCGCTGTAACTAATGCTACGCCAAGTTTCTGCTTTAACGCCTTGAAGATGTTCAAGAGAATCTA